CACACACACACACACACACACACACACACACACACACACACACACACACACACACACACACACACACACAAAACTCGATTTTCGAAAAACGGGGTAAAAACAATAACTTCCCGATTTTTGAAAATTTTCAATTTTCTTAGTGAGAAGTTAAAAATTAGAAAAACGGTAGACCCTGAAGGCCATCCTTGCAACTTCCCGCTAATTTCATACCAAGGTGCTTAAAATTGGACTAATGATATTTTTAAGCTCTTCGAGCTCAAAAATACAACTTATGTGTTATTTTGAGCTCTCCAAGCTCAAAGAGATAGCTTTTCTATGCTTTTGAGCTCTTCAAGCTCGAAAGTCTGATAGAACTTTTATAGCACAATATTTTTTGAATTTTCAAACCGCAATAACTGTTGAATGAATCAACCGATTTTTACGCAGTTGGCAGCCTTCGACGCAGTTTGTTCAGCCTCATCAAGGATCTTCAAGTTTAAATTAATAAAACAAGGAAATTCGGAGTAATTCCGAAAAAACACTTTTTTGGGTTTTCTTTCGTTTACGATATATATATATCGTTCACGATAGATATATATCTCTTGAACGAATTGACCGATTTTGACCGGCTTGACGGCAATCGACGTAATTTTTTTATTTTAATAGCTGATTAGTTTTTGGAAGTGACCGGTAAAGCCATTTAAAAGTTATTCCAAAAAATGTCGGAATTATGTTAAGAAAACACTTGTTTCCAAATATTTCGTCGAGGATATCTCTCGAACCAATCAACCGATATTTACGTTCTTGGCAGCGATCGACGCGGTTTTTTGAGCTCTAAAAATTATTCTATCTCATCAAAAACGATCCGAAAAGAAATATCGAAGTTATGTGAAAAAAACACTTTTTTGGGTTTTCTTTCGTTCACGATATCTCTCGAACGAATCAACCGTTTTCGACCGGATTTGCGGCAATCGGCGTGGTTTTTCAAGGTTAAGAGCTGATTAGATTTTGGAGTTGATCGATAGAGCCGTTTAAAAGATTCCAAAAAACGACCTTCAAAAAAAATTTTTTTCTTAGTTTTTTTGAAATTTCTCAAAATCTATCGATCCGAATCGGTTCAAATTTACAGGAAATTTAAGTTTGAGAGAGCTCTGTAGAGCGCCGTTTAGTAGGTTCCGATCGGAACCTTAATATTTCACTTGTCAATAAGATATGAATAATTCGATAGATATGCAAGAAATTATCAGCAAATATTATATTCAACAACGCAATTTTGGCAATAATAAAAAATTCATAACTTGAATACAAGCTCGATTCCCTAGCCCAAATTTTCAGGGCTTTTTAGGAACATAATAAAGCAACTTTTCTGAAAGTTTGAAGGAAATCGATGTTCCGAGAAAAAAGTTCTAGCCATCTGTAAACTGCGATTTTTTAAATTTTGATTGGTTTCAGATGGCTATAACTTTACTTAATAGAAGCAATCAATAAAAAATTGCATAGATTCTATAAAAGTATACCCCAATAGAAGACATTAGCTGCTGGTCGATCCTCAACTTCAAACACTGTACATATACTAGTGTTTTTACAAATGGGTAGAATTTAATCAAAACAGTTCGTTAGTTAGAGGCTGTCAGCTAAGGCCTATATGAGTTTAGACCAAATACTTATTTTTCTCTTAAAAGTAGAGAGTCTACTGAAAAAAATGCCGCTGGGCAGAAGTCTTTAAATTATATAGATGCTGAGATATAAATATTCAAAAATCAGTGAAAAATCGACTTTTTTAAAAATTCAAAAAATTCTCTAGCGGCCGAATTTGATTATATCGGGTCCAAATTTTCAGGATCGTCTTCTTTCAAGGTGTACTTTTGAGAAAAAAATCGGCATCAAAATCGCTGACCTAATTGCGCACACTGTAATAATAAATCTTGATTTAGAAATGATTTGATGTGAAATATAATAAACATTCATCTTCGCAACTGTATAACTCAAAAGCTGTTGGTCGGGGGAATTTACACAGAGGAACTTTTTGTAGCAAATTTTATGCTCTACAAAAGCTATGCACGCGTTTTTTCCAAAAAAATTTTTTTCACGTCGAAAAATCAAGTTGAAGCCGGAAAAAAATTTTTTCTATGTTATTTAAATAGGAAATTGAATTTTTAAATGAGCTAAGCCGCTATTGCACTTAAAGCCTTTTACTCGGCGGCATAATTTTTTATTTTTTATAAAGTATCAGATTTTCAGGTAGCACAGAGAAAAAAAAATATCGCCTAAAAATGAAGCACCCTAATACACACACATACATACATACAAACATAGTGATAACATCGCAGGGGTGGTCAGGGAAGCTTCCTATGACCTTAAAACGTCGAGATCTAATGGAAACTCGATTTTTGCAAAAAGGGGTGAAAACAATAACTTCCCGATTTTTAAAAATCTTCGATTTTCTTAGCGGGAAGTTAAAAATAAACTTAGTTTCAAAAAACCGAATTTAAGGGGCTAGGTGGGTTTCAGAGATTGTTTTATTTAAAAATTCCGAAAATTCAGCCGTTGGTACCTCATTTCCCTTGACGTATCCAAAAACAATGCTCTTGCCATGGACAGCATAACTCATTATTGGTTTATCTAAAATCAAAGATCCAAACATATGTCGTTAGTACATGGATAAATCTCGTTACTGCACGAAGGAGAGTAAAAAAAATTAAAATTTGAATTTTTGACAGACTTTGAACAAAAAAACACATTCTTTTGTTGAATTTTCGCCATGCATTCGCTCGAAAAAATTAGTTGTAATAAAAAAACAATCCTTCGTACCAATAGCGAGAATTTATCCATGTACTAACGTAATATGTTTTAGTTCTTTGATTTTAGAAGAACCAACAACCTTGACGTATCCAAAAACAATGCTCTTGCCATGGACAGCATAACTCATTATTGGTTTATCTAAAATCAAAGATCCAAACATATGTCGTTAGTACATGGATAAATCTCGTTACTGCACGAAGGAGAGTAAAAAAAATTAAAATTTGAATTTTTGACAGACTTTGAACAAAAAAACACATTCTTTTGTTGAATTTTCGCCATGCATTCGCTCGAAAAAATTAGTTGTAATAAAAAAAACAATCCTTCGTCCAATAGCGAGATTTATCCATGTACTAACGTAATATGTTTAGTTCTTTGATTTTAGAAGAACCAACAATGAGTTATGCTGTCCACGGCAAGAGCATTTTTTTTTTAAGACGTCAAGAGACATGAGGTACTCAACGGCTGAGTTTTCGGAATTTTTAAATAAAAATTTCACAAAATACTGTTTAAATATGTATCTTTGATATGCTGAAAAATATATACTATATACTAAAAAAAAAAAAATAGTAAAAATACCCTTTTTTTGAATCTCTGAACCCCACTTAACCCCTTAAATTATAACTACTTTAACTGTCAGAAATTTACAATTTTATCGGTAAAAAGATGTAGATTACTATTTTATTACTTATGAAAGATTTTTTAAACATCTATTTTTTTCTTTGTTATTTCAATCGTAAATAGTTGTTTAAGCTCACTATAATTCAGCTGTAAATAAATCTTCCAGATAATAATCAGTTATTCAAATGTTAATGTGGGTGCGGAAATCACACTTATTGCACGCGAATTGATAATAATATATTTGAAATTTAAATAAATTATAATAATCGATTTATAATTTATCCTTCAAAATATTATTTAAGCAGTAAATATAAACACAAATACAATTTATAAAAAAATGCCATTTGGCCTCACCCGAAATGGAAGCTAGATTTCATGTGATATGAGATTTCCTTTACTTATGTTATTTAATTTGTTCAATAACAAATGTTTATGTAATTTTTTAATTTTCAATCCGCTATAACTTTCAAACGAGTTAACCGATTATCACGTAGTTGACAACAGTCGATGCAGTTTTTTGAATTATATGATGAATTTCAAACCGCGAATTGATCAGATAAAACATTTCGGAATTTGTTTGAAAAAAAAAACGCTTTTTTCGATTTTTTTTTCGTCAACGATATCTCACAAACGAATCAAGTGATTTTGACCGGTCCGGCGGCGATCGACGTAGTTTTTTGATGTTAAGAGCTGATTAGTTTTTGGAATCGGTCGGTAAAGCTGTTCAAAAGTCCTTCTAAAAGAACAACATTTGAAAAAAAGTTTTCATTATTTTAAAATTTTTGAATGGCTTATAAAATTAATAAAAATCTTCATAACTAAAAAAAAAAATTTTTTTCTATCCATTTTCGGAAAAAAAATCAATATAATTATATATAATCGCATATAATTATATATAATTGGATATAATTATATATAATTATGCCGGGCAGAGGCAGGCAATAGCCTAGTCGGCTCGGTGGTCACTTTTCGAAAGAGTGGGACCCGGGTTCGATCCCGGCACGCACCAATATTTTTCAGTAATTATAATTTAAAAAATATGTGCGTTATATTGCCAACCTCTGAAAGTGGCAGAGATAGCCGGGTGGCACACGTCTGACTTGGGCGATCACCCAGTTAAGCTACAACTTAATTGGATGACCACTCTAGTTAGCGTTGGCTAGCCCGAGGGATCTCTGCACACTAAGAGAAGGGCCTAATGCTCCAGTGGTCGATAAAAGAAGAGTTCTTTATCAATCACTGTAGACTTAGCCCAGCTCCGACTGTACTATCATGGGTTTTCTCTGTGGTTTCCCCATGGTTCTGTTCCAACAGCCTGAGAGGTGAGGTTCAGGGTGAATACGGTACAGAAAGCACAAGTCGGGCCACAGGCGCAAATATAAAGAGCAGTAAACCAATTGCTTTAAAGCAAAATCATTAATGTTGAGAAAGGCTTGGGGTGTAAAGGGGCATAAAAAGCCTATACACTAGTAACAAATAGAATAAATAAATAAATTATTATGCCCGGCCATTTTTTATATATAATTATACCCAATTATATATAAATTTTTTACCCGGGTTAACGGTATAAAATTAATATGAAAATGAATTTAAACTTGAAATCAACGGATTTTTATTGTTAGGCAAAAGCACAACATGCCTCAGCGCTTTGCGCCTTAGGTGTGCAGTTATCTTCACCCTGTGGACCAGAAATTTTAAGTCTGGTGAATATTTTTCTCTCGCGAATACATTTTCAGAAATTTGTTTCTTCCTGTTTTTTTTTTTTTCTAGATAAATTTATGAATTGAAAATAATGCGTATATCATTTTCTTCGCAAATATGAAAAATAATGAATAAAAAGGAAAAATTTCTATGAGTAGCAATATGCTCTTAATTTTCAATACTCTACACAAGTTTTTTTTTTTAATTCACGTTTTTTTTTTTTTACTTAACCTCTATCTTTTTTGTGTTTATAAGATTTCTTTTACTTGAATCTTTTTTTACACATTCTTCCAAGTACTCTTAATTATAAAAGTCAAGAGTTTTTAAAGTCACGACACTATAATTAATGACATCTTTTCTTTTGTTTCAGTTACTGAAAAAGAAATTCGACAATGGTGAGTTCAGTTATAATTCAATAAATTAGAGACATCTTTTTTAAAATGAATCCGGCTTTTTTGATAATGAAGAATGTAATATTTTTTTTTTTTTAGGCATAAGGGATTCCTTAAAGATTGCCCTGATGGTCTCTTAACAGAACAAGTAATTTTTAGATAATTAGCTAGCGTAGCATTAATTTTTTCGTGGAATAATATAAACAAAACATTAATATTTATTTTTAGGGATTTATCAGGATCTACAAGCAATTCTTTCCGCAAGGAGATCCATCCAAGTTTGCTTCACTTGTATTCAGAGTTTTTGATGAAAATAATGTGAGATTATATTGCTTGTCAGTTATGCTTTTATCTATTTCTTCAAATATTTTATTCAATAATTTATTTTAATACGTTATCTGTTCTTTCTTCACACATGCATATTTGTCCTGCTTGAATATACCCACAAATCAAATCTTCTGAACTCTATTCTTTGAAAATTAGAGGTCCGAAAGATGTTGAATCGTATTGCTTACGTCTGCGCTAATGAAATCTTCTAACTCGCTCTATTTTACTGCACATCGGAAAAGCAAAAAAGGTTTGGAAAATCCAAAAGTGCATGTCTTACATGCTCATTTAACCATAGAAGTAAAAATGGAATAGAGAAATTAATTTATTTCACAAAACTGTTACATGGTGTTCGTATACAGGATGATAACATTATTACAATTTCTTCGAATTTAAATATCAGGGCTCCAGTTGACCGTTAAAAGAATCATTAACGAATCATGTTAGAAATTCTATGACTTTTGATAGAAATTTCAGTTATTTCCATGAGGTCTTAAGATTTTTTCAAGTAATTATTCGTTTTTCTATTTCGTTATTTTATTTTATTTTTACTCTTTATAGATAAATCGTGTATGCTCATCAGAACCAATTATGTATATTTACACATAGCTATGCATGCCAGTGGTTAACCGGTATGAAGGCATAATAATGCATAACATTTTACACTGATCATGCATGCTAATTTTTTCAGGCTATCAATTCATAATCATTGTTTTCAAAAGCAACATTAACAATTACAATAACTTTTGTTTTATCATTTTTCTGTGTAAGACTATCTCTATTTTTCATTATTTTCACACTTTTTGAACTCTTGCTAAATAACTTATAAGTACAATAGGATAACTTCAGAATATATCAGAGTGAAAATTTCGTTTTGTTTTGTTTTTTTTTTTTTATTTTATTTATTTGCTATTTTTCCTAAAAAAAATTAATTCTTGAAAGAAAAAAAAATTGAAGAATCTCACGAGCCCGCCGAAGGTGAGCGAAGTTTGGTCTTAATTATTCGAGTGTCTCGCGCGAGAGATTTCAAAGGTAGTATCACTACTTCTCTGTCTTGAACCACAAGTTCAGAGTTAAAAAGTAAAACACTAGCGCCTACCGATCACCATGTCGTTCCCTTATAGTTTTTACTTCTTCGCAATAAGCTGTTCCATTTTTTAATTTATCTGAAATAGGTTTGGATAATATTCATTAGTATAGATAAGTGGAAATTTCTCGTGTAACACACTCGAATAAAAGCAAGCATTCTCTTTATTTAAGTGTTATTTATTTGATTAATAAATAGTCAAATGAAATAATAGGTCATTTAAATCTCCAAGTGTTCAATAAAAACTTATAAGGGGCCCCTCACCCAGGTCTGTGACCTCCTGGGGACGACTCCACTTAATACTTGGCACCAAAACGGCGCCACCAAGAGTAAATAAAAATGTTGAGAACTCAGCCTCTTGGTGCTGAGTTCCTTACCAAGCTAGCTCGACCAGGGCGTGGGAAAATCATTTTCCTGGTCACAAGGAAATGTATTGAAAGTGAGAGAGGTGAACAGGGATAAGAGATAGGTTATAATTTAACAACTGGTTTATTCACCCGACACAAACAACGAGTACACTTTACAATAGATCTAATTAATGAAAATATTCACAATAAAATAATGACTCGACATCCCCAAGACTCGATATCAAAATTCACTGACTCTACAATTATAATTCACTTATTAAGTAAATATAAATCTCACTTATAAAAGAACGTAATCGACAATATGCCTGCTGACTGCTGGATGAATAACTCGACGGTGAATGGACGCAGGTACGGTATTCCTGAAGTTGAAGTTGACAAATCCACGAGGTAGTACGGCACCGACTTCCTGGCCTCCTGGCCAACCCGAGAACGCTTCACAGACCATTCCAACAGGACCTGGTCTGGGTCTCCCGTTCTCCAATGAGGATGGACGCCAGTCCACCTGCTCAACCATCGCCGACGCGTCCCAGGTGTTGTACGTATGAGCAGCGAGGTCCTCGAGTCAACCGACTCGTTTGGCTGCCGACGACGGAAGAGAGCGAGCTCACTCATGCTCTTGCCAAAGTGCTCTTCTACCACCTCCACTCAGTCCCAAACTTTAGCTCTCGCGCTAAAACAGAGTTTGTCGAAGCAACACAGCGCGGCCAGATAACTTGTTCACGTATACATTTTGCCTTGCTGGCCATCGAGTGCACTGGTTCACAAGTCCGAGTATGACGTTGTAAATTAAACTGAAACCTTCCGGTTACAAAATAAAGCATTGTAACTTGTAACGTTACATTTTATGTAGCGTTACAGTAGTAGTATATTTGAGTAATGTTGTGAGTTTATGTTGTGTGAGTACGTTAATGTCGTAGTATTGAGGACTATCGTGAATAAGTGTGCGTAAGTTAGTTGTCTCGAGGATGTCGAGCTGCACTGCGGAAAAGTAACCGATGTAACGTGTCTCCCGGTCAGTTACCGATGACTGAACTCAGGTTCAGCCTCTTGGAGCGAGGTGATTATCGCAGAGGAGCGACTGAAATGTCGTCGCCCTAAAGTACGGGAGTTTGGCAGGCTCACGCGGTAGCTTGCGGTTGACAGGCCTCGATTGCTGGATGCTCGAGGGTAGTCGTGAGTGCTGTCAAGGCTCCCAGGGGAGCGGAATCGCTGGTAGGTCTGGGACACTAGTTATGTGAGTGAGAATGAGTGTGGAGTTTTGTATGCTGGGAGTAGCGTGAAAGTGAGTTGAGCGCATGTAGCAGGTGGCATGAATGTAGTAGGGGTACGGTGAGAGGCAGTCTGGCTGGAGTAGTGAATGAGTAAGGATTGTTTTTGTGTGGAAGTCTAGCTTTGGATCGGATTTATTAGAGAGTCTTGTGGAGGATCTCGTAGAGGATGGACGTGCCGTCGCTGCTCGGCAGCGTTTAATGTGTACCGTGAAAAGAGTTAGTTACAAGCTCTCGTAGAGTGAACATCGTGTTTGTGAGTGGAGTTGAGCTCTCGTATCAGAGCTTGCGTGCTTCACGCTTGCTATTATGGTAGATGAATGGCCCGAGCCATTGTCTTTGTTTCGTGTTCGTTTAGGACTATACTTCCGCGATATTTTTAATATCGATTAATTTTATTTTACCGATTAATAAGGTTGAGTGTTAGTTCGAGAGTACCGATTATTGTACTAGATATCATTTAATCCCGTTTTGTAAGGAAATTACTTCCTCTGAGAGACCGAATCACGACCCTCTCTCCATAACCTGCATAACTGAGCGACACCGAGGTATTTCGTTACCGTCGAGGCTGCTCTTGGTCTTCTGGGGACATAAAAATTAAATTATCGTATCCCGGTTGCCGATACCGGTGAAACAAGTCGGCTGGCGCCTGTCGGGGTTCCTGGAGGATCGAGAGATGGCTAAGATGGACGAAGTGTAACGTAGTGAATTATCGTTTGCCGTGAAGATCTATCATGTAAGAAAAAGCTACGTTACAAACTCATGAAGATATAAAGAAATGTACATGTGATTAACCAGTTGTACTGGATGATATTGACTCTGCAAACTTATTGCTGCCAATATCTATTGGCTGTTGATAAAAATCAGCGAAAACCTTTGAATTAGAGGACCAATCAGCTAATTTATTCGAAACTCACACCTCTTTCGCATACTTCAAATGTCGAGGCATGCAGCGTACAATGCGCGGTGAACAACTCATCCAATCCTAAAGACATCAACGTTGATCTTATCGAATGGCTGATTATTTTTCTTTTAACCACCTTATGCGATTTGTTAAAGAAGCCAAATAGTGTCAATATTTCCTCGAAGGTTTTTTGTTACCGTCAAGTACTGATTCAAAATTTGTGCGATACACAATTCAGGTTTATCTCGGAAGGAAGAAATCTTCAGCACTGGTTGCGGAGCTTCCTAGCCGAGAAGTCTTAATCCTATTTGAAATACGTATTTCAATCCTACGGTCCAAAACAATGATATTAAAAATTTCGATCAATGCCAAGGATTGATAGCGATGGACGATGCCCATAGCTGACGAAAATACTAGCTTTTTTGTCAATTTTTCAATACCAACTTTTTTAACGAAAACTACGTTGCCAACTTATTCAGAACGGAATCTATGTCCCACGTGGATTCATACTTGGGTACACTGGCTTGAATCTTTGAAGATTCTTTGATATAAATCGGCTGATCAGCTGATTGTTCATTACATCCTCACCTGATATTAATGGTAGTGCCACTCTTGTGGAGTTCAGCGTACTGTACCCAACACTACTACTAAATCTCTCTAAGAGGAAGATAGGGTGTATTAACGGACGCTGTAACAAAATAACCGCGGACAAAATAACCGCTACAAAATAACCGCGGCAAAATAACCGGACGACAAAATAACCGCGGACAAAATAACCGCGACAAAATAACCGGACGACAAAATAACCGGACGACAAAATAACTGGACGACAAAATAACCGGACGACAAAATAACCGCGGACAAAATAACCGAACGACAAAATAATTAGATGACAAAATATTCTCAAAATCGTGTTGTACCCTTTTAACATGGTTTTTGTGTGTATTTATTCGACATCCCGGGAAAAACGGATTAGATCTGACCATATATAAACAGATCTGGCCAGATCTTTAAATTGTCTCTATCTGACGAGATCTGGCCAGATATAATCAGATCAGACCAGATCTGGTCAAATTTTAAAATTGCCCAGGTAAAAATGATTATATATAATTATATATACTCATACATAATTATATACGAAAAATGGCCATATATAATTATATACAATTATATAGAATTATTTTCATAAAAAAAAATAAAAAAAAAAAAAAATCGGCGCGCACGGGAACCGAACCTGGGACCTGACGCTTGAGAGACTAATTCATTACCTGTTTACCATTATGTCTGATGTATTTTTTCACTCAGATATAGTTATATCTGTTTAGATTTGATCAGATATGATTATATCTGATTATGTCTGATGTATTTTTTCACTCAGATATAGTTATATCTGTTTAGATTTGATCAGATATGATTATATCTGATTATGTCTGATGTATTTTTTCACTCAGATATAGTTATATCTGTTTAGATTTGATCAGATATGATTATATCTGATTATGTCTGATGTATTTTTTCACTCAGATATAGTTATATCTGTTTAGATTTGATCAGATATGATTATATCTGATTATGTCTGATGTATTTTTTCACTCAGATATAGTTATATCTGTTTAGATTTGATCAGATATGATTATATCTGATTATGTCTGATGTATTTTTTCACTCAGATATAGTTATATCTGTTTAGATTTGATCAGATATGATTATATCTGATTATGTCTGATGTATTTTTTCACTCAGATATAGTTATATCTGTTTAGATTTGATCAGATATGATTATATCTGATTATGTCTGATGTATTTTTCCACTCGGATATAGTTATATCTGTTTAGATCTGATCAGATATGACTATATCTGATTATGTCTGATGTATTTTTCAACCCAGATGTAGTTATATCTGTTTAGATCTGATCAGATATGACTAGATCTGATCATGTCTAATGTATTTATCAACTCAGATATAGTTATATCTGTTTAGATCTAATCAGATATGACTAGATCTGATCATGTCTGATGTATTTTTCAACTCAGATATAGTTATATATGTTTAGATCTGATCAGATATGACTAGATCTGATTATGTCTCCAATCCCATATCTGATCAGATATAAATAGATCTGACCAGATATAATTATATCTGGTCAGATCTAAACCTTTTTCCTCGGGTAGTTGGGCACTAAATTTATTGTCGACTACGTTAATTATGTAACAAAAAATGAATACTAAAATTTGTCTCCTTGATTTGTTGTAAATGACCCATGAGTGGAGGTTATCAAAAGTATTGATATATGAAATTGAGTTAAACACTATTTATTTAATGAATTAATTTCAATGGTTTAATACTATGATTGGATATAATTTAGATTATTTCCATTAAAACATGGACAAAAATAATTTCAATCAGATTTCACGAGTGCTCTACAAAAAAAGATGATTTTCTAAATTGTTTGATCTTCGCGAGCGTAAAATAGTTATCAATTGAATTAATTGAGTCATATGCATAGTGTATTCGCTTTGAGAGCAACTAATACACACATTTGTTTCTGAGTGTATTCAGTGTATGTATGTATACGTAATTCGTCTTGAAGTTCCCAAAACTGTCACCTTTTATGCTAGTCATGTTGCCCTCATAAGAAATATGTGAATGTTTGTAGTATTAAGTAAAAGTAGAATATATGTCAGCATGTGTAAGTGACGTAGTAAATACTTCCATGTACATTATCATTTTTTCCACGCTTGGTTCTACATAAATATGAATTCATATTACTTATAGAGATCTGATGTTGAGATTTAATTGCAATAATTATTATAATTGAAATTGTAGAGTGCTCATTAATACTGAAATTGAGTGGCACTGACTTTAAATAGTAACATTCGAGTAATCATAATAAGCACTATGAGTTTACTTCCCATAAATTAACAAATACCTACATTGAAAAAGAATTATTTTATGTAAGAAAAATATTATCTTCAAAATTTTACTCTTATTTCGAGATATTCAAGAAATATACTTTTTAATCAAGATAATAAAACTCTTGGATAAAAAGAAAAAGTTCTTCATTCAAGAGTTTTACGGATTGCTGTTACTTATACTATACTATATTATCAAAAATCCGCTTTAAATGTATTTCAGGTAGAATGAAGTAAATTGTTTGCTTTTTTCTAAGATTCTTTGGCAATGTTAAATGATAAACGTGTTCTTAAACCAAGAATACAAAATTTTGTAAAGAGAATGAAAGTATTGCTAGTTGAAGAGAAGATGTAAAATTTCTCAAGCTAAAAAACCCAGTTTCTAGACAAAGAATTATTATCTCAAGACAACCAGTTCTCTTCAAAATAATTTTCTTGGACCAAGAATATTTTTCTCGAGTTAAATAGTTTTTCATCAATACAAAATCATTACGCTCCGTCTTACCAATAATGTGAATTATCTTCGTTTGTAACATAACACGAAAAATTTTTTTGCACACATGTCTTAAATTTGTTGTAAAAAAATTCTGCTTAACTCAAAATAACTCGTATGCTGCACTATAAATAATAAAATCAATTTATGATTACATGCTTATAATCTTCAATGTTTTTTCCCTATTATCTTTATTTTGTTGTAGGATGGAACAATAGAGTTTGAAGAATTCATAAGAGCACTGTCTGTAACATCTCGAGGCAATTTGGATGAAAAACTACATTGTAAGTACTTAATTTTTCTTCTAATTTTCATTACGGATTGATTTTTTGTAACTAATAACAAAACAGTAGAGCATGCAGGACAAGAATGTGTCAAAAAAAAAATTAACTGAACAAATTAGGATAAAAGAATTATTATTTCGAAGAGCTACAATAAAATTGCCTAAGTAGTGCGTGCCACTGCTCGAACAAATGAGTGCTCTTAATTTAATGAGTACTAACAAAACACCAAGCCTCATTTTGATTTTAATACTCAACATCCTTATCGCTTTCTTAAAGTCAATAATATTGGCTCTGTGTGCTCACATATGCTCCTTTAGAAATAAATATGTATTGTATATACGTTAATTGCCCAAAAATACCGCACCCTCTTTTTCGAGGCGTCGTTAATATGCATGAAAACATTACTCGCTGTTAATGAAATAGTGTTAGTATTTTCGTGCACAGAGAGATTAGTGGAGCTTAGAAGTAACATTTAAAAATACTTGCCCAAAGAAGAAAGATGTAACTATTTTGTGATGAGTTTCATGATTTCATCAGCATTATCATGAATTCAATTTGTTTAAACAAAGTTACTTTGTTCACAAGCAAAGTTTTCAAGTTTTATTATTGAGAAATCTCATGATAAAATTTCCTGATCTGGCCAATTTTCATATTCAGCCAATATAATTACCTATATACGATTAGATTCGGTCATATATCGCTATATTTGGCTGTATGTAATAATACAACAATTTTTTATTCATTTTGTTCGTGTACTCAATTTCGCTCTCGTGAGCGATCAAAAATTTACCGCACAAGTTGCTTGATATACTATTTACATACCATGCATTTTATTAATTTCTATAAATCATAATTTCAGGGGCTTTTCGATTATATGATGTAGACAATGATGGATACATTACACGCGACGAAATGTACAACATCGTAGATGCAATATATCAAATGGTGGTAAGTTGATTTAATTTTTTTTATAATTTTAGAAGAGGAAGGGGCAAAATGGGTTAGTCAAGAAAACATTAAATTGATTTTTTCACAAAAATTCCGAAAAAAATGTTTTTTTCAGAATAACTTTGAAATTTATTATCTAATCAATTTTTATGAGTAAGCTACTTTTTGTTCTTGAAAATCGACTAATTAAAGATATAAAACAGTTTATAAACGTTAGGAAATGCATTTCTTCATAAAAACGTGTTTTATTTATTTATGTTTTATTATTTTATCAAAATTTTTTCTAGCGCGAAAATTAAAAAAAAATCATTAAAACAGTAATTCAGTAATTTAGCAACGGTAACTATTCCATACTAAAATTTCAGTTGTTAATTATAAACTTAGATAAGCACAATCAAGTAATATAATAGCTTAATTCAATAAACCGCAAAGTTACTTTAATGATAATAAGTAGTGTACAATGATGTAATGCCTTAATTTGCATATGAGTGAATTGCTCTTCTTGGTACACATGGGGTGCCTAGATTTATAAACATTCATCCATCTATTTTCAACATTCACAGTCTTAGTTGCAGTCACAGACTTTAGTTGCCACCCTCAAAGTACAAGAACCCTACAAGTTTTAAATTATGGAACACTTGGGCTCAGGTTCTCAACACCGCTTGGGTGGATAACAAAGGCACTGCGGCTCTATAGTTTTTTGTTTTTAACGAGTAAGCCTTCTCGCTGATAGATTCAATGTATCAACTTAAGTGAACGTTTGGAGATTAGTCCACATTAAAAAAAAAAAAAAAATTAACTTGATTCAAAAGAAAAATTCTTGAACCAACACAATCATTTTGAAGATCTCCATCTAGATTTAAGTAGAAAAATGTTTGAACTGAGAAAATATTTCTTGATTGATTTAGGTTAATTTAGGGATTTTTCATCTTGATTTAAAACAATAAAAATATTTAAAATGATTTTCTTGGTTAAAATTTGAAAACCTGGATAAAATCATAAGTCTTTAAGGGGCCGTTCATAAATTACGTCACGCAAAATATCGGTATTTTGGACCCCCTCTCCCCCTTCGTCACGCTTTTTCCCATCTTCTTAACATGTAGGGTCACACTTGACAACACCCCCCCCCTCCCCCCTAAGTGCGAACGTATTTTATGAACGGCCCCTAACCAAGCAAATTTAAGAACGAAATAAAAACGATAGGTGTCATCGGATACCAAATTGAGACGACATTACTTTAAGCTTTACAGTTGCTTGACTTGTGCTTTTGCTATAGTACCCATTGTCAAAAAGTGATGTCAGTGTTGTGTTCGAGTTGTCAGTTAAATACTGAGTTCATAATGAAAAGTCTCTTCGCTGGAATCTTGAAGAGTTTAAAAGGATTCTTAATTGAATTATAGCAAATATCGACTCAAAAATTGTGAGAAAATTATGATAGATATGATAGAAAATTAGTTGTTTACATAAAATTGATTATTAATCACAAATGAATTTGTTAACATAGGGATAACAAATTATATGTAAAAATAACAAAATTTAGGTTATAACAAGTTATTGATATGTTATAACAACAAAACAGTTTTGTAACTATAGCAATATCTTTAAGTTGATTCGACAAATTACTTAAGTTGGTATAATAAATTTTTTTGTTTAAAACAGCAAAATTATTCTATTAAAATAACAAAGAGAATTTGTTAGAGTAACAAAGGCAATTTGTTGAAGTAATAAAGAGAATTTGTAAGAATGAGAATTTGTTGGAATAACAAAAAAATGTGTTACAGTAAATTTTATAAGAATATATTTAAAAATATGCTATTATCAGCTATAGCTGATTTGGAAAATATTTTGGCAACAAATTAGTTTTGTTATTGCAACAAAATCACATTGTAACAGAAACAAAATCATTTTGTTGCAGCAACAAAGTCATTATGTGACAGCAACAAAATAATTTTGTTAGAGCAACAAATTGATTTTGTGATTTAACAAACTGGTTTGTTAGTACAACTTGAAACATTTTGTTAATGCTACTAATGAGTTGTTGCTATAATTACACTTATTTATTGTTACCACAACATATTAGTAGATTTTATAAAAATCTAACTATTGCAGCCGTCCTCATGGCACAACTTTTAAAAAATTTAGCCATTTTCTGACTCAGTTTGTCGAGCTGAGTCAGAAAATATATATAGTTCAAAAGTTTATATATGTATATATTTATATATGTTGGAGAGTCTTTGATAGATGTATATGTGTGAGAGAACACACGCTAATGCGCATGTGCGCCGCGTCGGTCGCACCGAGGCACGTCGGTGCTCCTTGGCTTCACTTGTCCGCCACACATAGTTGCGTATACATCGTTGAATGTTTGAGAATATTATTATACTGTATTTTAAGAGAATATATATCGAGTTTGATTTAATAATCATACGTATTGTTAATTAAGGGGGATGGCCACTGTGAGGATCGAAAAAATAGGTGATTTTCGGGAATTTTTTTGACTGGGATAATAAAGGAATTTGGGGATCGGGTTTTTTTTGTTTTATAAAGTGTACATTGCAGATTATTCTCCTAAATTTTTATCCAAAAATATCATGTTGTTACAAAGTTATTAGCATTTTTGTGGAGCACCCAAAAAATTTCCCCCTCCCTTATGCGATCTCTAACTCAAAAACGGATTATCTAAAACAAAAAAACAAAAAAGCGTTGTATTCTGCATACGTGTGGTTATCGTTGCAGGTAGGGGATTTTAAAAATTTGGATTTAAAAAAAAATGGCAACATATTAAAAATTTTTTCGTTTTTTTTCCTCATTTTTTTGGATTCAAACAGCCCTAAAAAATCTTAAAAATCAAAATTTCCAAAATCCCCTACGTACAACTATAGCTACTGAATAGACGAATACGGGGGAAAAAAAAGTTGCAAATCGGTTCATATTTATGCGAATTACAGTTCTCATCAGTTCAAAAAAAGTAGTTTCGAGAAAAACGCGTTTTCGTCGGAGTGCCGCACGTGTAAAGTCATTTGACGTGCTGTCACAAAAAGGACTATAACTTGGAAAATATTTGGAATTTTGATACTAAACTCTAGATACATATTTTTGAATCCACAGTGGCCATCCCCCTTAACTTGATTAAGTCAATCACTTTACTTACACTTCAACCTATTGTTAGCTTCTATTTTTTGTCTCTAACAAATTCAATTTTGTTGAAGTTCAAAATTTTCATACAA